CAAATATTCGATATATTAAAGATGAGCTTATTAAAATTATCTTTAACAGACAAACACATTTGCGTAGGTATTTGGACGAAATAAAGGCTAGGGAGGTGTGTCAGGATCGTGATAATGGGGGATCGTAGTGATCTTATTGGTTCCTATCCCACTTGCTGAATGACGTGAGTGTATGTGGCTTATGGCGATGGTAAAAATCACTGGAAATGTTTGGTAACTCCTTTCTTTTGTGAAGACACAGTTTATTTTGTTACAAAGTTAAAAAAAGACTACCACCAAATGAACATCAAATTCCTGCAAGGAAGCCCATAAATCGTGGTCCTAAACCTTCTGTGTCCATCGACTTCCTGCGTGTCTTTCCAGGTCATCCTCCATATAGTGGTGAGTGAAGAGGAGGTGACTTCGAACGAAGTGTTCCTAACAACTACTGGCATAGGTATGGCATGAACATTCTACGTCACCCTTTTCCTAGGTTTTATTCATGGCTTTGGTATGGTATTGTATTCATTCATATTGTCTAACACACACTCACACACACACACACACACACACACACACACACACACACACACACACACACACACACACACACACACACACACGACAACACACACACACACTTGCGCGCGCGTGCTTACGCAGTCATAAACTCTCGCACCCACATCTATATTTATTCATCAGTGATTAACGTTAACTATGATGGAGGCCTTCCTGTAACCCTGGTTTTAATTACCTACTTCAGGCACCAGCGATTTACAACCATTTTCATTATAATAGCTATTAAGTTTACTTTTGTTAAGATATATTTTAGTTTTGTGGTGAGAATTTTATAAATTTTTAATAAAAAGGAGATGCAACGTTTTTCCTACACGTACTTATATATCGATATCAAAATTAAAATAATATTTATGTGAATTATATTATTATATTAAGCTCTATCCGATGGGAGGTGTAATTATAATATACCATTAAGTTTTTTTTTAAAAAGTTTGACAAACGGGCACGCAGGCCACCTGATTGGAAGTGGATGCTGTGGTTCATAGATATCTACATTTATCCTCGTTTAATAATCAAAACATAAATGCGTGGTCACAACTGAGGATTAAGATAGAATGCCTCGTTTCCGGTAGAAAGGATCTCAGGTTCCATACATTCACCATATGACACACACAATAGCATTCAGTTAATATTTTTTTCTGGTATTCTATGAGAGAGTGGTCTTTCCTCGGTCGACCCAACCATAACATACTCGTAGCTGTAGCATGGCTCTACGGCATAGGATAGTGCTACGATCCTGCAGCGATTTTTTAAAAATGACTATATAGTAAATCGAAGGTGTAATGTAGTGTGGTTGCAATACATTGTGGTAAAAAATAATTAAAATAAATATGAAATATACTACTCACTGCTTCCGCGAATATCTACGTAGAGTTAAATAAATTAATTTTACGCATCGCAAACCAGTCAAAATTAAAAAGTAAATATTTACGTTAGGGTTGTGTGAGCCTTGAATTCTTGACGCATGAAATTCAATAAAAATTTCTATTGAGGGTTGAAAATCAAAGGAAAAGATTTTTGTATTTTATGTAGTATATAAAATAAGTATTTCTCTCTCCTTCTTTTCATCTTTAATTCTTGAAAAGTTTTGTATGTAAAGGTTTTATACGTGGTAGAACCACGCTGCAGCTATATTATGATTGTAGCACGAATGGGTCGACCAGACCGGGGTAGGACCACGCTCTCATAGAATACCAGCATAAAATAGCAGCTTAATGCTGTTGTGTTTTATATGATAAGTGAAGAGAACTGGAGACCCTTTTTACTGGAAACATTCCATTTGATCCTCAGGGGAAAACGCATCTGTATTTGATTCTTATTTAAGAATAAATGAAGATGTCTATGGACCACAGCATCCACCTACCATCAGGTGGACTGTGTGCTCGTTCATCACTCTTATTCTATAAAAAGTGGGATTAAAAACTACTCATAAAAAGGAAGAGAAGAGAGAGAATGAACACACCGTAATTTTATCAATACTCGATTTCAATTACGATAACTTGATACTTTATTAAGATTAAGGTAGATATAACCAATTTCATGTTAAAGTTTTTAATGATTGCTGCAGAAATTGGATCTTCGTTTCTTGTTAGTTAGCGAAAGGAACAAAGGAGTATTTATTTGCAATTTTTTGCCGGTTATCCGTGAGAACGTGTTTCTCTGATCTTTTAATGTTTTTTCTTCTTTTTAAAAAATGTTACCCCCATACTAATATTTTCTCCTGTATCGTGGAGGTTGTTTACAAACATAAATTGCACAAGGATAGACATCCAGACCTGGAAAAATTGTTCGTATGCCATACAAATACATGTACCGTGCGGGATTCGAACCCGCGGCCCCAGCGCAGCCACTCATTGCTAAGCCACTGCGCCACAGAGCCGTCAAGTATGTGTATGTGCTAGACATTATTCTTGAAATTATTAAAAAAGGAATATTCCTATGTATTGACTAACGTAATATAGATCATTGAACACAGTTAAGTAAATATAATTTATCATCAAAATAATGTACCAAATATGCAAATCAACAGGAAAACCAACATATTTAGTTGATTACTACTTCCTTTCTTAACACTGACTCCCGCCCCAGGATAATTACAGCTGTTCTTTTATAGGATAATTCTTGTCAACCAAGAGAGATTTGGTAGGTAGTCAATACAACGACTTTTAGAAATCAAACATTTCGATTTAATACTTATTAAATCACGGCTCTTGATTTAATAAGTATTAAATGGAAATTTTTGATTTCTAAAAGCAAAATGTCTACGTGCTGTTTTCGAGAGTCATTACGAATGGTCTCTTGCGCAGACTCGCCGACTTCCAGCCTCCCGAACAAGCCGGTTTTCAAAAAGGCTTTAGAACCATTGACCACATATATACCCTTTGGCAAATTCGAAGTCCGAAGAGTATAATCTGCCACTTTGCCCGACGTATGTGGACTATGAGAAAGCCTTTGATTCCGTCGAGATTTGGGCAGTGCTACAGTCTCTACAGCGGTGCCAAGTTGACTGTCGGTATATCGAAGTGCTGAAGTGTTTGCGCAGTAGGGCTATAATGGCTATCTGAGTACAGAACCAGAGTACGAAACCTATCCAACTGCAGAGAGGTGTAAGACAAGGTGACGTTATATCCTCGAAACTCTTCACCGTTGCATTAGAAGAAGTTTTTAAGCTACTGGACTGGAAAGGATACGGTATTAACATCAATGGCATCAATTACTTTTGATTTGCCGACTTAAGCACTATGCTCAATGACCTCAATAGTGCCTCCTAACGGATAGGTCTTAAGATGAACATGGACAAAACAAAGATCATGTTTAATGTCCATGTCACACCTATGCCAGTAGTGGTTGGGAGCACTAAGCTCGAAATTGTCGACGAGTACGTTTACCTGGGACAAATAGTCAAGTCCAATCTTGACCGAGAGGTCAATCGACGAATTCAACTCGGCTGGGCAGCGTTCGGGAGATTACGGCACATCTTCTTATCTCGTCAGGTATACCTCAAAAACTGAAAACTAAGCTGTACAACCAGTGCATGTTGCCAGTGATGACCTACGGAACCGAGACGTGGTCCTTCACTGTTGGCCGTATAAGAACGCTCAAAGTCGCTCAGCGAGCTATGGAGAGGGCTATGCTCGGAGTTTCTCTGCGTGATAAACTTAGAAATGAGGATATCCGCAGTAGAACCAGAGTGGCCGACATAGCCCAACGATTAGTAAGCTGAAGTGACAATGGGGCGGCCATATAGCTCGAAGAACCGACAACCGTTGGGGAAAAAAGTTCTCGAGTGGCAGCCACGTGTAGGGCGACCCCCGACTAGATGGAGTATGACATGCAGGAAGTCGATGGATGCAGGTGGCTCAGGACCGTGCTTTGTGGCATACCTTGGGGGAGGCCTATGTGCAGCAGTGGACTTGTGAAGGGCTGTAATGATGATGATGATGATGTATATATAGGCGCCTATTCTATAACATGCATTAAAAATCACAAACATTATATCACGGCGATATGTGCTTTAGATAACTTAACGTTCTTAATCAGTATGGCGACGAACTGTAGTTATAGTTACTAATTTTGCCGTGAGATAGCGGCTTACATTTATTATCCAAATTTAGAAGAAGGAAGTTTTCAATTCGACTATATGTTTTTTGTATGTTTGTTACGGATATATATGTCAATTCTGAATTGGTAAGCCAAAATAGGGGATGAAGTTTTTAATGATGCAATCAAAGGGATAAAAAACAACAAAGTGAAAGCCGACTTCAAATAACTAAACAAAAAACGAGTGTGCTTATGACCACACGACTGTAGTAAAACTTCTTTAGCTCCATCTATATATATACATACATACACATATATATATATATATATATATATATATATATATATATAACATATATATATACATATTAATTTTTTACAAATATTTAATTTTATTATTGGCTTTCTTCCATAATTTGTTATCATTCAATCCGCAAAACATGAATTTTCAAATTAATTTACAATTTTATTTACTTTAAACGTGAAAAATAACTGGCTATGAGAGAAAAAGCCTCACCTCACCCGATCACACTTTTCGTAACACTTTAGTCACGCGTTCGCCATCTTACTCCCAAAGTCAAAGACGTTTTATTGCGTAAAGAAGTTTTATTTAAATAATAAAATAAATTCACATTCTGAAATCGAGACATTAATTCTTTTATACAACATGTCTTAGCACATTTCGTTTTTGTTAAATATTAATTTTTTCCGATCATGGTAGTAAGGTGGCTGTTATGCAAGTGGAGATTGTGGGGTATAAGTAGGATAACAGGTCCTCCTGTTACTGTACTCCCCTAGAAAGTACCAACAAGGGGTAGCTGGTTTTGAAAGCTACTAGCACGATGAAGTTGGAACACCATGAGTTTTGCGACCAACAATAACCAACATAACAAGTTATTGCACTAAGTATATGCGTGTGGTTTTCCCCTTAAAAATGTTAAATGCTTACCAGCAGTGCAAAGTTTAGAGTCTTCATCGTAGCCGTCGATGCAGTCTGGTGCGCCATCGCACAAGTACTGGATGGAGATGCAGTTGCCGTCCACAGGACACTTGAACGGCTCGTACGGGTGGCAGTACTCTGAAAAAAGAAGGGTTGTAAATTTTGATGGATTGATTTTAAGGATATAAGATTCGTAAGACATGGCTATGGTAAATGCCACAGAAACCTTGTAAACGCTGTAAAAAAAATAATCAAACTCAAAATAAATATAATTTTCAACTTTCATACCGTAACAGACAATTAAAATCCAGTGCTTAACATAGGCCTCTCCTCATACTCCCTCATACTGCCTCATACTGCCTCATACTGCCTCAAATGCCTCCGCTTGACAAGCGGGTTAGCAATCGCAGTTTTTTTAGTCATATGCCGCCCATCTCTTGGTTTTCATACTGCCTCATACTGCCTCAAATGCCTCCGCTTGACAAGGGGCATGCAGTTTTTTTAGTCATATGCGCCCATCTCTTGGTTTTCATATGCCTCTACTGCCTCAAATGCCTCCGCTTGACAAGCGGGTTAGCAATCGCAGTTTTTTTAGTCATATGCCGCCCATCTCTTGGTTTTCATACCCTCATACTGCTCTGTCGAAGGGGTTAGAATGCTTTTTTTAGTCATATGCCGCCCATCTCTTGGTTTGTTTCCCTCTGTCGCCTCATACGACAGCCACGGGATGATATGGGTTAGTGGGTATTCTTACACCGCCACTACACGGGTTCAATTCAATACATTTAGTTCACATAATTCAAATTATTTACAACAAGTTCCAGATAACCTATAATATGTAATAATGTTCGAAGCGCTAATGAAGATTATGAGGAAGAAATTTTTCCCATCTGTGTGGTGAGAGATGGGGAACCCTTTTACTTATAAAGGGATATGCCATCTGAGTCTTAATCGAAATTAAATATAGATGTGCTGCTACGTGCCCGTTTGTCTTTAAAAAAGAAATTATAAATCTTATCAAGAAGATAACTACAAAATTCAGTAAAAGGACACCTTAAAACTAAAATTTAAACTGAAGAAAGTAAATTAATTTCTCCCAAAGCTATTATTTGTTTTTACTATTACGGAAATTACAGACCAGTGATTTTAGAATAACAATAGCGCCCCTGGACGTAAATGGAACTATGTTTTGTCAAAGTTACTCGATGGCGTTACGAACTCAAAACGTTAGAATATTCATAATCAGGGAATTGTATTCTCAAAACTGAATGGTTTTGTAAGCTCGTTTGCAACTTGATTACAATGATTTAACATCCAGCTAAACGTTATCAGCTTAACGAAGCGTAATAAAAGGTATCTTTAATGTTATATTCTATAGAAACATAAGGAATTTGCTCCTTATAACATTGTATTATCTCTTACTTGTTTTTGCCGCCAAATGTTTCCATTCGGAAGGGTATAGAGAGCAATTACAGGCTGTGAGGCATTCTATCTGAGTCCTCAGAGATGACACCGCATCTATAGTCTGTAGCAGTTATTTGCAGTTGCCTGCAGATGTCCATAAAGTACAGTATATACCATCCAGCAGAGGACTCTTTACTTCAGTAACTAGCCACCCACTCTACTCCAGTGTGTGTTTTTTTATTGAATAATAATGATTTATATTTTATGACCATGTTAATTATTATTAACCATTTAAACTTTATAAGGTAATGCGGGGGTTTCGGCGGGAATTTGTCAGGCAGTGGATTGAACTACTACCCTGTAATATTGCATAAGTAATGGTTTAAAGTGGATTTTGATACGTAAAAGTGGTGCGATTATGTGTACTAAACGGCTGTGCATGTGAACTATAGCGGGAATGATGAAACACTTGTTCAGATGGTGATGTAAATCTCAAGATAAGGTGTCTACTTAGACGCCTTGAGATACTATCGTCATCGATTCTCTGCTGGCTCAAGGTGTCGTTAAAGTCACCCAAAAACTTTATAATGCGCCGTATCAAGATATTGTGATGAAGTTTTGAAACAAATTTTTTAAAGTATATGTCGGCGCGTCTATAAAATACCAGTTGAATCGAGAGTGAGGGACAGGTTGCACCACTCTAGCGGAGTGTTATATTGATGGTGCCGTGGTAGAACTAATGGTATATCGAGGAACCCCCACTCGTTTGTGTAGTATAAAGTTCACTGTAGGCGCCATGCGCGAGAGACTCCACCTAAATCTTTCTACGAGTGGTAATGAAAGAATTGTGGTTGTGTACGTTGTAGTAATTCTGTTAGGGCAGGCAAGGAAGATGATGTTACTCAGAGGCTGTTCTGTGTTACACTGAATTTGTAGTATTGCTGTTGGTTTGCATACTTTGCTATTATCATGTAATTACGTCACTCATTTTACAACATTACTGTGTAATTGTACATATTACGGTATGGTATAGTATGTTATTTTATTGCTAATAATGATAATGATTAATTGCGTAAGCAGGAGAGCAAGTTTGAACATCCGCCCCCACATTATTATTATTTTTAACAATTAACCTTCTGATGTATTTTCGACATTTCTGACAGATATTTCTTACTTGATGCTTGATACTGGCAAAAGTATTACAGTACGAGCCCATCAACAAACGAAAAAAAAACACAATCTTCCTTTACTTTTTCATTTTTCTTTTTTTAACAATTTCACAAAGTAACAATCTACTATACGTCATTATACGCAGACGACCGATATTTCTTAGCGTTGACCTACTTGGAACTCTCTTATTCCTTAGGTGCCATTTAATGACATCTTGCCGCAGTCGTTAGAAGTAAGTAGACACGACTAGGTCGTTCCACATGAATCAACGTTGGAGCGGTAATTAAGTTTTATCGCCTGGATGACCGACTTACGTATTGAAGAAAAACAGAATAATAGTATTACGTTTTAATCAAACTGGCGTGATGAATGTATTTTTTTTTTGTTTTCTGTTCGACTCTTAGAAATGTTATGGTAAAAAGTTAATTTAAGAACGCCTATTCAACCGTGTATTGATGAATCTCTACTTTTAGTGCTCTTCTATCATCCAGTATAGTACAAGGTAGACCCATGCTGCAGCTATATTATGTTTGTAGCACGAATGAGTCGGCTTAACAGGGGATGAACCACGACTTCACAACATACTAACGTAAAATAGCAGCTTAATGCTTTTGTGTTTTGTATATTGAGTGTAGAGTACCGGAGACCATTTTTACTGGAAACGAGGCATTTCATCTTAGTCCTCAAGAGTGACAAAGTATCTGCATCGCGATCATTTACGATATGATGAAGAAGAATTTAAATATGTAGCCACTCGCTGGTAACTTTAATCTCATTACGAGCTCTAACAACTCAGTGCGGTGATAAGGACTGATCTTTGTGATTTTCACAATGCAGCCCTACCGTGCACTAATCGTATCTTACTGGTTTTCAACTTGTCACAAAACAGTGAGATTTTTTTTTGAGAATAAGGACGACAAACGAGCACAGAATACACCTGATGGTAAGTGTGATACACTACATTACAAGTAAGGATATAACGTACACAAAGTTAAAGCTTTAAACATTAAATTATTTATTTAAAATTCTAAGTAAATAACAAAGTAGGCAAGCAATCCGGGTTCATTCTTGCCGGCTCCAATGAAATAATTAATCGGAATTTTACGTGCTAATTTAGTACGTGTTCAACGGTAAAGAAAATCATCGCGAAGAAAAGTAGCTCAAGGATCTTGTGAAGTCCACCTAGACGCACTGGAGCAGTGCGGTATACTAATTGCTCTAAACCCAATAATTTACTTGATGTTAAGATTCCGTTTCTACCTAGGAGTCCATCTATTACCACTATCTTATGTATTTATATCTCTAAGCAGCAGTGAGTGTATAGTTGTGTCCCTGTCTGAAGCGTTTACCCTTTATTACCCTGTCTTTAGAGAGCCGCTATTAATTCTGGCTGTGCGGCATTCCATCTTAGTCCTCTGTGCTTTTCGAGGTGTCAACGTATCTTAGTCTTGTTTGTTTGGAGTTGGTTGCAGTTTTCCATTGGCTACAACAACAGTCACTTACTATCAGTTGGCCAGTAAGTTATTTGTCACTTTAATATTATTGAAAAAAAAAACTTATTAGAAAAATGAAAAAACTGGTGACGGGAGGCGTATATCTGTTATCTGTTAGCTTTTTTTTTGAAAAATATTACCCCCACACTTAGATTTTCTCCTGTATCGTGGAGGCAGTTTACATACATAAATTGTACAAGGGAAAACATCCAGACCCAGAACAATTACTTGTAGGCCATACAAATACTTGTTCAAATATAGTGCCACACTCATTGTTAAGCAATGAGTGTGGCTTTTTACTTGACGAAGTATAAGCTATTGTTTTGACTTTTAGTATAAAATTTTAATAATATAAAGAAGTTTACTCACCAGAACGCTTGGTATGATGACCGTAAAGCTTGTTCAGGTCAAGGGTTAGAACAGCGTTGGGCAGAGCGCAGCATACCGCAGCCAGCGCGGCCACGCAAGCCGCCACACGACAAGAAGACATTTCTGTAACAAACATTATAATACAATAACTGTAGGTGTATATTGCTGGCGGCGAAAATCTACCCTATATTACCGTTGGTATCGTAAGAGGCGAGAATGGGAAACTGAAGCAGGAAGTGGGCAGCAGCATTTTATATATAGATTAAGGGTTTCAAACGAGCAGATAATTCACCTGATGGCAAGTGATGCTGTAGCCCATAGACACATCTATCCTCGATTAATGAAATGGCTTGTTTCCAGTAAAATAGTTCTCCGGTTCTCTTCACACACCATATCACAGCAGCATTAAGCTGCTATTTCGCGCTGGTATTCCGTAAGAGCGTTGTCCTTTCCCGTTCGAACCGACTCATTCGTGCTACACCTAAAATATAGCTGTAGTAGCATATGGTAGAGTACATGAGTAAATAAATCTTTACTCATGTGGCTCTACCATGCCTAAGGAAACAATTTAATAACAATAAAAAAGTTAACCCGTCAAACGTTGCAACAACGTCAAATATTACCTATTAAACAATCAATGGGGGAGGTCTGTAAAAAAAAAAACTGTGGATTTGTAAAAAAAAAAACACTTATAATAAATAATAAAAACGGATTTAAAAAAATTACCCTTTGTGTGGACAATATCAATGTCTTCTAAAGAGTTATATTAAATATTTCATACCCTATTTTGTCTTCATCCAATTAGGGTGGATTTTTTCTCTAAATTTATATGGGACCCCCCAGAATCGTGGTAGCTCAGCTTAACGCTCGCTGTAAATTTACACAGTACACAGTACGCGAGCAAGTGTTTAGAACGTGATAGAGCCACGCTGCACCTATATTATGGTACATTACGGTAGAAAGTATGGTTGTAGCACCTACCACCACACTCTTACAAAATACAAGCGTTAAATAGCAGCTTAATACTACTACTGTATTTCGTATGTTGAGTGTAGAGAACCGAAGACCCTTTTTATTGGAAACGAGATATTCAGTCTCAGTGCTCAGGGGTGACAACGATACTCTATTTTATTTCTTAATTGAGAATAAATGTAGATATCTACGGGCACAGCATTCACTTACCATCAAGTGGACTGTGTGCTCGGTTTTCACCTATATTCTATAAAAAAATTCAGACTCACTTTCCGCCGGTACTATTGAAATTGTTAATTCTATTTTTCACTGCTGATTTACGATATATTCGGCAGTGAAGAAAAACATTATACATGGTAGAGCCATGCTGCAGTTATATTAATAGTATAGTTGTAGCACGAATGGGTCGGCTCGACCGGGGAAGGACCACGCTCTTACAGAATACCAGCGTCAAATAGTAGCTTAATACTGCTGTGTTTTGTGTGGTGATTGTAGAGAACAGAAGACCCTTTTTACTGGAAACGAGACATTCCATCTTAGTCTTCACGGGTGATAACGCATCTGCATTTTGACTTGTAATGGAGGATAGATGGAGATGTCTATGGGCCGCAGCAACTACTTACTATCAGGTAGACTGTGTGCTCGTTTGTCATCCTATCCTATAAAAACCTACATATCTGAAAAATAAAATACTTCGAATATAAAATAAATTCGAAATATAAAGTTCATCAACACGCATTGGGGCAGCGCGGCGGACACTTCCTTGCCCTAAACCCTCTCAGAAGTGAGAGAAGGCCTGTGTGTACGTTTATATGCTGTGATTTTACATATAAAATAAGTTACATTTAAAGTTACAGCCTATATAAGGACTATAAAATAGTTAATATACGCGATAAAATCAGTAAAAGCTAATTTTATTTAAATGTGTAAGCGTAAACATAAGAAAACATATGGGTCAATTTCTGGAGTATAATAACCTATTTAATAATAAATAATAATCACTATCGGTTCACAACTGACAAAGTTATTGTGTAACACAAAAAAAATATACCGACGATTTGTACACCTCTCTCTTTTTAGAAGTCGGCTAAATGTTATATCTAAAGATCAAATTTTACATCACTTTATCAAATTAAATTAAAAGTGATATATTTTCAGAAAATATGGTTTGCAAGATGATGTTGTGACCAGAATTAGGAAAGGAATGCTTTGATGGTTTGTTCATGTGGAAAAAATGAACAAGAAAATAGTGAAAAAGCAAATTTATGTTGCAGAAATGAACAGCAGAGTTTATCGGCCAAATTGGCTATATATTGAAGATGAACCAAATTAAGAGTACCCTTAACTGACGAGCATGTACGGCAAGTAAATATGTAGGTAAGCGTAGGTATATAGATGTAAAGTAGACTAGAGAAGTGTATCAGAATCGTGCGAAATGAACGTCTCTGCCTACAACTATCGGCGACAGGCGTGATTTTTTATTTTGATTATGATGAAATATTTTCACTGTAAATTACACAAACTTTTAATTCAATCATAATTATTGGTGCAAAGACGACGGCTTCACATTCATATATAGTTTGAAAAATTATGTAATTTCAGCTGGTATTGGCCTCGCAGCTGAAACCTATCTTCCAAAGCGAAACATTAATATTGCAGAACGACGCTATTGCATTTGAACGTATTAGAAATAAATTGCATCACGTTTGCCCGGTAGTTTCTTCTCTTGTGATGGAATTGACGTCCTTTAAAAATTTATCAAAATGAGTGAGATAATAACGTTCTCAAGCAAATTGTTTCGCTTGAATTTTATTTATTTACTAGCTATGCCCGCGACTTTGTTCGCGTGAAATTAATACTTTTGTTATGATATTGATCATGATTTATTCGTACTTTTTAATGGCGCCAATATCCAGAAAGACACAAATCTGACGAAAAAATTAATCAGACGAAATAACGAACAAACAAATTGGTGGGCCCACAAACAAGCTAGCGGACGGACTCACAAACGAACCAAGAAAAGAATTGGGCAAACTATACGCTTGTGTTGCATATTGTAAATAAACAACAAAATGAACGCAATAACGTAATCCACAATTACACACGTAATTATTTGCTCACCAATTTTTCTTGCCAAAATTTGGTCCCCATACTAGAGATAAGACACAGCCCTAAATAAGAGAGCTCAATCATCAAATACTAGGCTGCACTAAAAGTATTGGGAATGGAATATTTCCACTGTTCCTGTCATATTAAAATCTTTTTAATTGAAAACTCCTTGGTTTTAAAAATCGAATACCTTTTATTTATTTAAAAAAAGATTCTCGGTCTTGTCACAAGGTTTTGTCAAACTTGTTTAGTCGTTGAGAAAATGGAATTGAATCGAGAAAATTCAAGAGCGATGATTTATTATGACTTTCGAAGTGGTTTAACACAAAAACAGTGTGTTGACCGGATGATTTCTGCATTTGGTGATGAAGCCCCATCCAAAACCAGAATTTATCACTGGTTTGCTGAATTTCAACGTGGACGTGTCAAGCTCAGTGATGATTCCCGTCAAGGTCGTCCAAAAACTGCAGTCACCCAAGAAAACGTTGATGCTGTGCGTAAGCTGATTGAGGAAGATCGACATGTGACATACGGTGAAATTCAGGCAACTTTAGACATTGGCATGAGTCAAATAAAAATAATTTTGCATTAACAATTAGGTGTAAAAAAGTTGTTGTCCCGATGGATACCGCATTCGCTCTGTGAAGAGCAAAAAAGCGGCTCGCGTTACTTGGTGCGTCAGAACTCTCGAAAGATTCCACGCAGGATCCTCAAATGCTGTATACAACATCGTATCAGGTGACGAATCCTGGATATACGCGTACAAACCCGAAACAAAAAACCAGTCACAAGTTTGGGTGTTCGAAAATGAGTTAAAGCCAACAAAAATTGTTCGTTCACGGAGTGTTGCAAAAAAATGGTGGCCACGTTTGTCTCCAAAACCGGCCATGTTACGACTATTCCTCTTGAGGGACAAAGAACGGTTAATGCAGAATGGTATGCTAGCATTTGTTTGCCACAAGTCGTTTCTCAACTCCGTAAGGAGAACTGCAACCACCGCATCATCCTCCATCAACGACAATGCGAGTTCTCACACCGCACACAGAACAAAAGAGTTTTTAGAGCAAGAAAACATAGAATTATTAAACCATCCGCCGTACATCCCCGACCTAAGCCCTAATGATTTCTATACTTTCCCTAAAATAAAGAATAAATTGCGTGGACTGAGATTTTCATCACCTGAAGAAGCTGTGGACGCCTACAAAACGGCCATTTTGGAGACCCCAACTTCCGAATGGAATGGTTGTTACAATGATTGGTTCCATCGTATGGAAAAATGTGTCAAATTTCGCGGAGAATACGTCGAAAAGCAATAAATAGATTTTTAAATAGTAATGTTGTGTCGCTTCCTTGATTCCCGAAAGTTTCAGTGCCGCCCTCGTATTGGTACTGTCGATACAATACGGTGACTCTTAAGTGCTAAGCTCTTAAGTCTAAAAAAATGAATGAAATTATATATTATATCTTATCCTGGAAACTGATGAAAAATAAAACTAAAATTAACTGAGAATAGCTTTTTAAACTTTAGGTGATGGGTGTGATCGAGCATAAATTCAGTTCCCAACCGATTTCGTAAGCTAGGATTTTAGTGGTGTTTCATCCCAGTGCCCTAGAATCTCTCCATATTTGTGTTAGATTATCCCCCATGGACTATGAGAGTGAGGAGAGTGAAAGTGCACCTATGCTTGCATTTGCACTCGTGATTCATAATCCTGTCCTGCGTCATTAGAGAAAGGTGAAATTAAGGTACTCCCTTTACTTACGTAAGTATTATAGAACACTTTTACTCTCTATCGAAAGGTTCGCACATAATATCTCAATATCTGCATAAATAGATAGTCTCCGTTGAGACAGGTCGCCATGATCGAAATTCAGTCCAAAGGAAATTATTGATGGGGATATTGGAAACAGTAAGAAAATAAAAAATTTCAAACTTTTTAATTTGTTATTTAGCGTATAAAACACTTAACACCCAAATACTGAAATAATTGATATATCTACTTTATTTGTTTATTTAATCTTAACAACTTAAAATGTTAA